GCAACACGTCAACAATGCACCTAAACACACCTCGTTTTCAGAGCAACATGCCCATGAGCGCACACATCGGTGCAAATGCATTTGCTATTTAAACAACGTGGCGCAGGACATGAAAATGATAACTGTGTCGGGCTGAAACTAGTAAAAAACACTTGCGTCGCGCCTGGTGCCGCATTGCGCCGGGTGTATGATAGGGCCCTTAGTTTTTTTTTTTTTTTTATTCTCACAGTGTGCACATATTTATTTAGGTATGTGTACACTGGTTGATGATTTGATTTTATGTACTGGTTGAGGTTAAGTGATGCTCACTCTCATTTAATTTCTCACTCTCACTGCATTACATATAGACAGTATTCTGGTTAAGAACATAATTTTATAGGGTAAGGTTGAGCGGTGCTCTCTCCCTTTTATTTCTCATTCTCACAGAAGTTGTACATAAAGCTATATGCTCGTTGATGGTGCAATTTTATGTACTAGTCGAGGTTGTGCGACCATCTCTCCATTTTTATTTGTGCTCTTTCTAACACAGCTTTACATATGGTACTCAACCAGAATGAGCTTTTTTACCATTTCAGGTACTGCCACCACCGCATCTGCAAGATGCATTTGCAGCTTTTACCCGCTGAGTGGTGCTTTAACCACAAGTTATCAAACTAACTCGTGCGCATTTTCGCAAATAGCAGTCAGCTTTGCCTTGCCAATGGGTTACATTTGATGGCTGCAGTCGGCGGAAAATAAAAACAAAAAAACAAAAAAAAACACTGTAGTTTAAATAATTCATTTTCACAGAAGCAAATTTAATAGCCTACTTATGAAGTTACGTGCATTTGTATGTCATAAATGTCAAGCCTGTGCTTATGTTTACTATTGTAATGAAATTAACTAATTTGTAAGGGAATTAATCATTAATTTTATTTAAACTCTGTTCTGCATTGGGTTTTGATCCGCTGCATAAGTCTGTCCCACGACGCGATCTTCCAATCGGCTTCTTGCAAGGCGGAGCGTGCATACATTAACAAGAGGCTCCAATTTATTATTGACTCAATAGTGTAAGTGGGTCCGTTCGAAGACAGAGATCCTACACTATGCCACACAGTATTATACCATATTGTAGATTTTTACACATTTAAGAGGTGTGCAGTATTATTTATATAATATGAATCATATGTTTTATTATCTTAAAATAAACAAAATGTAGTTTACATAGCATCAGAATAATAAAAGTGGTAGCCTGTTCAATATGCCTACATGGATTTATAAGCTAAATGTCAATATCCAATACAATATAATGTATGCTGGTCGAGGTTGAGTGATGCTCTCTCCTGTAATTTCTCATAGCATTGCATATAGATTTATATGCTGGTTGGTATATGATTACATATTTCGGTTGAGGTTGAACTGTGCTCTCTCCCTATTTTGCTCACAGCATTATATACAGTATATTTATATATGCTGGTTGATGATATGATTATATGTACTGGTTAAGGTTGAGCATGGCTCTCTCCCATGTCACTTTCACAGATTGAGGTTGAGTGTTGCTCTCTCTGTTATTGTTATTACTCTTGCAGCCGTTATGCTGCTTGAGGATGTAGCCGAATTTAGCACTCACGTTTTCCCTCTTATTCCCATCCCTGCAGTATTATTTTCCAGGCTGAGGTGGTATGTTATGGAGATATTCTTTACAGAGGGATTCCAAACAGAATATTCATTTAGTTGCCTCCCACCGCCTCACTCAGGCCACATTCTTGCTGTTGGGGAAGGTAGAGGTAGTAGTGATGCACCTTTCAAGCAATTGGGATTATAGGCAGCTTGTGCCTGCTTTCCCTTTTTTTTGGTATCCACCTAGTGGTGATGCTTGTAGATGCTGGTGTGATCCCTCTGCTGGGATGTATCCTACCCATATAGCTACGGAGACTTGCATCTGGTGACTCACAAGGCAATTTTAGATTATGGGAATGGGTGTTTGTCAATATTGCGCCCCATTCATTTGAGGCCTTTTTCCTTGTGAGGGTCTTGGAGGGTAACCTCCACCACATAAAGCCTGGCTCACACTACAGGATTTTTAGCCCGATTTAGCCCTGATTTCCCCCTCCCGAGAATCAGAGAAAAAATCTTGGCGAGCACCTCGATCGGTCCCGATGTTCGGCGCGGATTATCTGGTAATGTTAGGCATTCACCGATCGAATCTTGCCACCCCAAATAATATCAAACATGTTTGATATTTAGGATTTAAATCGGGATGATGACGGCTATATGATTACGTCAGTACTTTCACAGCCAATGCGCGACCGCAAAACAGCTGCTGTACGGCTCCGTTGGATAGTGGTTGTAGTTTTGTAGTAACACGACTGTCTGTATAATGTGTCGAAAACGTATCACAACCATAAGGAGAAAGAGAAGCACTGGAGTGAAATCGCCTCAGTTTTGAACATACCGGGTGAGTGCAGAAAGCTGCTAGCATGCTAGCTAACATGTGTAAACATCACTGAAATATCAGTGACGATCTGCTGCATGAGATCACGTGAGGCACTCCCTCTGGCATGATAATCTTAATAATATCTTGTAGTGTGTGATGCTCCACGATTTTCAAATCTTGTAGTGTGTGCATTTTTAAGATTTGAGGGTTCCTTATGTGTGCGCTGCAACCAGATTTCATAATCGGTTAGGATTTTAAACTCCTGTAGTGTGAGCCCGGCTTAAGGTATATGCGTTCACTTTCATTAGGTTTACCCTTGGAGCTGGTACCAGAGGTTGAGAGGTGGGATAATAGGTTGGGATAACAAAGTTGGCTCCCCCTTTTCCAGGGCGTAACATTTATGGTACACCTGGATGACTTCAAACCTGGGTCAGGGTTGGCTATCTGGGGTTAAGATGCTGATGTCAAGCCTTGGGCCTATAGCTCCTAATCACTAGGTGCACAGTATGGCATTTTTTAATCACGGCCAGTCTCATTTGTTCAACTTATACAACACAGTGGGTAGGCATTTGTTCAGTATGAAGCAGTGGGTATTCACGGTCCCATAGCATCATCATAGACGCAGCGTAGAAGTTCCACTTTGATGGTAAACGTGTCGATTAACATGCAACCTCGGTTCCCCGAGAAGCAGAACAAGACACTGCGTCATGTTGCCGTACTTCAGACCACGTCTGCACGACTTCCTTCAGACAATTATAATCTGGCGGTTCCATGATGTAGATGCCCTTTTATGGCATTGCCAGCACGTCATATTCTGTCATGTGACTACCATCAGCCAATTTTATTGGTAAGTTTGCAACCATCCTTCAAGCACTGGCCCATGCTGAAGGTGTTCCCATAGCGTCATCGTCTGTCATTCTCCCTCTCGGGGAACCAAGGTCACATGCTTAACAGAGACATTTTATCAAATGTCTCTTAAACGAATGTGATGCTAGTAATGGTCATTATTTGTAAACTGCTTTGGATAAAAGCATCTGCTAAACAAATGAATATAATTGTAATTGTCATTGCACTGAATGAGATTTGAAAGATATGCTGGAAAGGAAGATAATCAGTAAATAATGATTTGAAAACTCTGTCATCATTTATTCACCTTCATGTCATTTCAAAAACATAAGACTTTTGCTGCTTGTCGAAACTTTAGTAAAGATATTTTTAATGAATCCTCCATTCCTGTCCATTTGACAAAACTTTCAAGCTTTGAAATTAGGGATGCGCGATATTGGATTTTTTTCTGATATCTGATATGCCGATAACCGATACCGATATATTTCCTTTTGTTTGGAAACAACACCAGGTCTGTCCTGTAGAGATTATAAGCAAATTATTTTTAATTTTGGTTAGTTTTATCAAAAACATACTTGTTAGAATTAAATAAACATTTAATTAAGTTTTATAATGAGAGTACACTGAAAGCTAAAAACAACTATAAATCAATCACTGCATTTTTTTCTCAGACAAATGCAATGGTATTCTATTTGAAGATTTAACAGTTATGTATAGCGAGTAGAATATCTGCTTCCTCTCACCAGGGAGGGGAAGAAGGGAAGGGTGAGATAAAGAATTTTGTAGATGGTCTAATGCAAAAGAGTTGTAAAAATTCAGAAAATATTTTAGAACTCCTTGTATTTCACTTTCATAACCCATTTGAAAAAAATTATAATAATTAAAAATGTAAAAAAAATGTCATATCGGGCCATTGTCGGTGTTTACATTTTAAGCCAATATCACCATTTTAAGCTGATATCGTTCCGAAATATGCATCCCTACTTAAAAGTACATAAAGACATTGTAAACGTAATCTATATGAATTGAGTGGTTTATAGGGCACATCAAATATGGTCAATGGAAGATTAACCATACTTAGTTAACGCAAGCATGTTTGAGCTTCTGTTTGCCATGTTTGATGCAGCTTATGCATGTGCATTGATCAATGTTTATTTGTGAATAAAAAACCTAAATTAAATTATATAAAGCTATTTGGATTTAGATTACTTTTACAATCTCTTTATGAACTTTTTACACTTGGAAGCTTTGGTGGAATGGACTTTCATTGGAGGGAAAGAAATCTTTAGCTATTCCTTTAAGGCTAAATGCAACAGTAAGGATGACACATGCAGCATGGGATGGGTATGTTTTAGAAAATGCACTGTTTATGGTATACAGTGGTGGCCAAAATTATTAGAACACTAGTATTTTCACAAGCTAAAAAATGGTTTTAAGTCAGTTATTTCTATCTTTTGTTGTAGTATGTCAGTAGGAAATATCAGTTTACATTTCCAAAAATTCATTTTGCCATTAATTGGCACAAGGAGTCTGACAACAGCCAGTGCTCCACACAGAGATCTGATCTGAACATCATCCAGTCTGTCTGGAATGACATGAAGAAACAGAACAAACTGAGACAGACTCAATCCAGAAGAACTGTGGCAACATCTCTAAGATTTGCATGAATTTCCTTAATTATAACAACCCTGAGTGAGGAATGTGGTTTGTATTGTGAAATCAGAGCAGTGTGACTTACGGTGTAAGCTGAGGGAGATGTTGATGGTTCTCTCATCTGTGAAGCTCTTGAGGCCTGTTATCTTAGCGCACTTCAGTTGCGTTCCCGCGGGGGAGTCGCCTACATTAATCCAGCACACTGTTTCCTGCGCGTACAGGAAGTCCATGGCTGTGGTCTGTTTTGTGCTTATGTAGAGTGATGGGCTGCTGGAGCCACTCAGAGACGTGATCTGGATGTTCTGAGAGTTCGCGATCAGCAAGACAGGGAGACGATCCACAGGCACTACAGCAAGAGGAAGACATCTGGTTCATCTCAAATATAATAACAGTTCAGCCAATAGTAATGAATTAAAGTGTTGGCTGGTGCGGATACATATATGTGAGGGAAACAGAAATGGAGAAGCTTTATTTTATCTTATCTTGGCCTGTTATGTTTGTCTTACCGTTCTTGGCCTTGCAGGAGCGGTTGTCTGGTTGAACTAGATAACCTTCCACACAGGAGCAGGTGTACGAGCCGTCTGTGTTTGTGCATGTCTGACTGCAGGTGCCATACACCATACACTCATCAAAATCTGAACCCACACAGACACAATAAAAGATTAACATATATGTATATACAGTATATAC